GTTGGCCTTAGATGGGTCGAAATTCGGCTGGTTTGGTAGGGACTGGCTGAATTTCAATAAATCTATGGCCAATACCATTCAACTAGTGATCAACTTCTATTGAAGGGACGGCCAATACCCTTCGACTAGTGATCAACTTCTATCGAAGGGACTGCTGGAAAATTTGTTTCATACAGCCAATAAGTGTATTTTGACAGTGGAAGAGTCCCGCTGTCAGAACACAATAGCACAGCGGGGAGGATTTCCCCAATTACCTCAAATTTTATGTGTGGATAGGGGAGTCCGTTGAGCTTTTTTGATCAGCCTGCTGAATAATGTATGTCCCTCCTTAAGCAGCAATCTACATTTTTTGTAGGTTACAAAATACAAAAATCAGTTGGGAAAATCTGGCCCAGTCAATCACTCAGTCCTCCAAGACTGTTTAGCCAGGCTCAGTGAGGACATGCAAGTGATGGTGTATGGACATATGTATATAACTTTCCATGATCTGACCATTAACAGTTAAGTCTGGTGAACATCATCTGATGTGTTATGGATTGGAATGGATTCATCCAGATCTTCATTAACTCATGTATCATCTCATTGTCTTTTCAAAGAGAAGTAAATGTTTACTATTTACTGATTAATTGAATTGCTTTCTACATGCCAGTTAACACCTCCCATAGCAGTTAACAAAAATAAACATGGTGACATGGAGGTCAGATTTCCTTTGAGGAGGTAATAAAGTTAATACCTTTATGTGTCACTGCTTCCTGTTGAATCTAGAGCTTCACATTGACTATGGATATGCAAAGTGCTTTGCTAGGTTAATCTATGACTTAATTGTTCTACTTGTCTTTGTGTGCCAACACACTTTGTAAGAGGCCATATGATTTAACTTGTTACACAAGCCTGTTTCTTATGAGCTTCAGCTTTTATAAGAGCAGTGTGAACAGTACTCTTTTATGAAACCTTTGAGTGGCTTTTTCTAAGCCTTTAAAGCACACTTCAGCTAGTGTTTGGAGATGTGATACACAGATCTTAATGGGGGTTCTGTTTGTCACTTTAAGCAAGCTGCTAGCAGACTTCCAACAAGCTTCAAGTAGTGCTGAAGCTTGCTAGCCACTTATTTAAAGTGACAGTCAGCACTTACATCTGTGTTCAACATTTACAAACTGGATATTCAATAGAAAGGATGGAACTTTCAGGGTGCATGAACATGAATACCACACATATTAAAAAGATATATAATTTTATTTCTTAAATAAAGGAATGCGCATTCCTTTATTTAAGTTATAGCACTAAGAAATTTATTTGGTTTCTTTGAGGTGGAATTGCTGCTTTAAAGTATTAAGGGTGTGGTGCTTTTATTACACTTGTGATATAATTTTATTTCATCTTTTTAAAACAAAGAAAGAAATACAGAAACATAAAAACAATTTCAGTACTAAGTATGGAACCGAAATTCAAACTTGATTATATAATTGTAGTTACTCCCATCCTTTCTATTGAATATCCTTAATTCTAAGGTATGTGGTACAATAAACATATCTGGTCGCTTGCTCGCCACTTTACTGTTACTGTATTTACAAACTGGAGCTGAATGGTACTTTAAAAGCCTCAACAGAACTTGCTGATAGCCCTGCACATTCTTTGTTAAAACTTGCTGTTCACACTGCTCTTATACAAACTGAAACAGGCCTTACATACAGCCGACATTGATTTGAATGACAATTTGTTGTTCAGTCTGGATCTCTGTTGTATTTGGAATGTAGTGAAAAGCTTGAACATTTCTATTACCAGATAAGTTTTAAACACTTGAGCCAATCCTTGAATTTATAAACTGGTAAGAAAAGGTCTAGACAACTGTTATTATTATTGTACAGTATTTATATAGCGCCAACAGTTTGCTCAGCGCTGTACATTACAATGGGAGACAGTACACGAGACAGTACAGGTACAATACAATTCGATACACGAGGGGTTCGAGGGCCCTGCTCCTTGGAGCTTACAATCTAGGAGGGAGGGGATAGTGGTACAGGAGGAAATAACTGTGGGGGATGGAGTGGTAGGAATAGTGGAGGAGATCGGCAATTAGCTAAGGGCGGGGTAGGCTTCACTAAAGAGATGGGTTTTCATGGTGCGCCTAAAGGAGAGGTGATAATCTGATGGATTGGGGTAGGGAGTTCCAGAGGATGGGGGAAGCCCTGGAGAAGTCCTGGAGTCAGGCATGGGAGGAGGAGACCAGGGAACTAGAGAGTAGGAGGTCTTGCGAGGAGCGGAGAGTACATTTTGGGTGGTATTTGGATATCAGGTCAGTGATGTAGTTTGGGGCAGTGTTATGAATAGCTTTGTACGTCAATGTTAGCATTTTGAATTTTATCCGTTGGGCAGTCAGAAGCCAGTGGAGGGATTGGCAGAGGGGGGTAAAACAATTAATAAGGATTACCAAGGAACACTAAACTCCGCTAAAAAATCTTTTGGACAATGAGTTCGCCCAGGGCTGGGACAAGGGGTGGGCAGGAGGGGCGGCTGCCCTGGGCGCAATGGTTTATTGCAGGGATGGGGGCACCCTGTGCTGAGCTCCTTCTGTTAAAAGGTGGCTGCAGGGGGGCGAGGATACACAGGAAAGGAGTCCACCCAGACTGCTAAGTGTAACATGTTCCAGGCTCTGCAGCATTCCCCTGTCCCCTCATTGTCCATGTATCACATGGCCAGCAGTAAAGATCAGAATAGTAAAGGATATGTACACTGTTGGAACATGTTCCACCTGTTTATAGGGAGATCCTTGTGACAGTGGGTGGGGGATCCTTTCCCTGCTATCACAATTTGAAAAACGCAGGGCCATGTGGGTCTCAGACACTTGGTTGCATCATTCATTCACAGTTTACTGTGAATTAATGCCTACAAGTACAGTTAGCCATTGCACCTGATAGCTTGTAGTTCTCAATGAACTACGAGGGTGTTGGGGGGGTGCTTTTGTAGTCCATTGATCTTCCTGCTCTCATGTAACTGCCTGACCATGCAAGATATGGGCAGACAGCTATGCTGAGAGTCTGCAGGGGCCTGACATTGCACCCCCGATCTGCTGATTGTGGGTGCAATGCTCTGCAGGCTCCTTAGAAAAAAAAAAATGCAGTTCTTGCCTGCAAAAAAAAAAGTTCTAATGACTCCCCTCCCCTCCCTTCCCATGCTAACTAAACTCCCCCTGCACTTACCTTAGATTGGTGGGCAATGAGGTCCAGGAGCCTGCCATTTATTAGGTGGCATTCTGTTAGAGAAGCTCTCAAGTACACAGCTTTTATATTTGGGCCTATGAAAGTCTCAGTAGTCCTGGCACTCTGCACCCTGACATCTCTCTGTCACCCCTCCCACTGAAACCCCCTATACCTACAACTCTGACCCTTCCTGCCTCCCAGCACCTCTGTCATGGAACCCCAACACCTCAGACACTGCACTTTTCTGCCAGATAGCAACTGGGAGAGCTGAGTCTGGAATATGTGGGCTCTCTGCCCTCTTCCTCCTCCCTCTGGTAACATTACTTTCTCCCCAGTGCAGCCCATAGCAGCCAGTCAGTCCTCTGGCCTCTGGGGGTGCTGTGCACATTGTTTGTGTTCCCAGCAGACGGGGAAGGAAGTGCACACTTCTGGGGCGAGAGGAAAAGGGAAGCCAAACACTGAGACACCCACCACCTCCATTACTACGGCACCCTTCCAATGCGCCAGCCATTTTCTGCAAGTCCAACAGCCACATTTCTTCTTTATATCTTATAATTTCAAGGCAATTTATTTAAAAATACAACCCCACTATATATGACTCCTGCCTCCAAAATTATTAAACCTTCTATATTATCATTTTGAACATGCAGTCTCTTTATTAAAACTAAGAGGAACCGAAAATGCTATTTTATTTGCTGTATTCTTGTTTTTTCAGTAAGTATAGAAAAGAATAAGACAGGATAAGATACATTCCATGGCAAGCTTTGAGAAACAGAAAAAAGCTCACTATATATAACCCAGGTTAAAAAATATTTTGAATCTATCGTTCATATGTTCTTTGCTAAGTATAGAGCACAGATTTAGTAAACTTTGGCTCTCTGCCACATTTGGCAACTGAATTAAATGAGATTTGCTTTAAGTCATATGTAAAAAATTCAAAATGCATAAACAGCAAATAGGAAATGCTGCAAAACACATACTTTCCATACAATATATATTCAAATAAATCGAGCTGCGTTGTAGATATTTCTCTGAGCATATAGGTTGTTTAACTACATGTCATGGAAATGACCTTCCAATCCATTTAATTTACCATGTCCTAAAAAACCCTTGTGTAAGAAAATGCTGACCTCACAGGGACAGCACAGTATTTCACAATCATGTACATTTCCAGGACAGCCACTGGCTTCTAAAACAAAAGGATACATTGAAGGTTATCAGAAGACAAACGTTTAGACACTTTTGGAGCTGCCATATGGATTTATGAATTTTATTCCTTTTGCTTGGTCCCTTAGGCCTGCATTTGTTTCATAAATACAGTTTTTAATTTTAACACATTTTATGGTCCCAGGGTGGTGCATTTAGATTGGTTGTGATGGCACAAAGTTTTTTACCTTCCTGCATTCTATGCAGGAAGGTAAAAATCATCTGTAAAAATCGTTCAGCAGGCCCCCCCCCAGCTCCAATACTTACCTGGGCCCCACTGTGATCCAACGATGTGCTCTCTGGGGACTCTCCCTGCCCTTATTGGCTGAGACAGCAGCGTGGGCTATTGGCTCCTGCTGCTGTCAATCACAGCCAGTGAGCCAATGAGGAGAGAGAGGGGTTGGGGCCAAGACACGGCTCTGTGTGTGAATGGACACACAGAGCAGTGGCTAAGGCGTAAGCCTGTTTCAGCGCCCCTAGAGTAAGCTGCTTGCTCTGGGGGTACTCTGTGGGGTCATGAGAAGAGGAGGATCAGGGCTACTCTGTGCAAAACCACTGTACAGAGCAGTTTTTTATTCAAGTTCCCTTCATATCACTTTAACCACCTCCTGTCCAGCCGTTGTATATAAACGGCCAGACGGTGGCAGTGCAGGGTCGGGTGGCCGTTTATAAATGGCCTCCCCACCCCCTGCTTGTGCACGCTCCCTGGGAGCACGCAGCACCGCGATCTGGTGCCTGCTGTCTCCTCCGGACACAGAAGAACACGGATCGTCGTACAGGACCTCTGTGCGAGGTCCTGATCATGTGATCACTGATTGGCCAATCAGTGATCACATGCAGAGTAGTAAGCAAGATGTCACTTCTGACATCATTGCTTACTACGTGTGAAATCTGTGAATGATCACAGAGGTCACCTGGTACAGAGTTATTCACAACAGCCTTGTACCATGTGAAAAGCTGTGACCAATCACAGCTCTCACAGTATTTCTCAATGGCTGCAGGAATGCAGCCAGAGAGAAGGAGAAATGATTGCTTTTACAGTCTTTATGGATGAAAAAGCAATCAGTGTAAAAAAAAAAAAATCTTCATCAACCCCACAAGTAGTACAGTTTCACCCTGGTGACACTGTACTGCTAGGGTGACAGTATGAAAAAAACCCATAAATAATAATATATAAAATTTAAATAAAAATGTAAAAAATGTTTTTTACAAAAATTATTATTTTTGGTTATAAACTAATTTGGGGTATTTTTGTTTTTTACTAAAAAGATAACTGAATACATTTTGGCCAAGATTTATGATGAAATATTTGCAAAATTTTATAAGAAAAACACTTTTTTTCAAAATTTGTGGACTTTCATTTATATAGCAAAAAAAAATAAAAAATCCCAGCGGTGAATAAATACCACCAAAATAAAGCTTTATCTGTCTCAAAAAATGCTAACAAATTCATATGGGTACAGTGTTGCATGACCGCGCAATTGTCATTCCAAGTGTGATAGTGCTGAAAGCTGAAAATTGGCCTGGGCAAGAAGGGAGTGAAAGTGTCTGGACTTGAAGTAGTTAATATATTATTTGCTTTAGACCTCATTCAAATGGGCAGCAGCCCTTTCCACTCCTCTGAAATTGTGTACAGCCAAGTGGCTGCACGTCCTTCCCTAGGTAGGTCATTGTGGGGGTGGGTGGTAAAACCACCGCCTGTTTATACAACCACTATGTTCTCCATGTGAGCGAGAACTTAGTGTTCAGCTATCAAATTTAAACATGGTGAAAAAATAAATTATGTAGACTTAATCCTTTATCCATTGTGGTTTAACTTCCTCAAGTATTTTGTTCTTTCAGTTCAAAACGTATAATTTAAAAAAAATTAAAATACAATCAACCCCAAAACCAAGGGGGTTCACTACACAGTCCAATTAGTAAAATCAATCTTCATCACTGACCCTGCAAGAAAGACAATGAATATTCACCTCTCCTGTTGCACGTGCTGCTAATCTCTGCAAAAGTGAAGAAAAAGCAACAGCTAAAACATTTTCAGAAAGCCTTGTCCCCCGCCGTGGTCATTGGTTAGATTCACAGGTCCCTATGTCACTACAGTATCCTAGAACCACAGCAGGTGGCATGGGATTAGGAAAGTATTGGACTCAGCTGGTTCTTTCTCTTCACTGATTCAGAGATTACTGGCATGGACAGCAGAAGAGATGAGTACTTCCTGTGTTCCTTGCAGGGGCAGCCTTGTTTTATTTTACAAATAAACAATACATACAGAGTGTATGTACAAAAAAAGCTTTCCGCATTATGGGTTTCTAAGAAAATGGAAAATTTCCTATCAAATACTTACCGTAATTTTTCTTTCCTGATGGACTCCATGGCAGCATAAGTATGGATTTAGCCCTGCCTCCTCCAATTCTATAGGAGCCAACTGCCATAAATTTTTGCTCAGAGCCAGACGCCAGGTTCTATAACTAGCCTACTCATGAGATTGGGAAGGTACTCCTGCTGCCATGGAGTCCATCAGGAAAGGAAAATTACGGTAAGTATTTGATAGGAAATTTTCTGTTTTCTTGACAGATTCCATGGCAGCATACGCATGGGAAGTAACTAGTCATACACACAGGAGGGCGGTTCCTGAACAAAAAGTTTTCATTTGCACCGTCAACAGACAGGACTCACAAACCAAAATAAATAGAGGATAAAGAAGAAAGCTCTATACAGTAATGAGCCATAAAAGGTGTTGATTGAGAACCAGGAGGCCGCTCTACAAATTCTCAGGGACTCATGACGTGGACACACTCCTGGTTATGTGTGCTCTGGAAGCACTAATCCCGTAGCTCTGTAGGCAATCCGGATGGCCTGAACAATCCATGCTGCAATTGATCTGAATGAAGCACGGTCTCCCTTGTTCTTCCCATGAAAGAATGAGCAGATGATCAAACAGTCAGAAGGGAGCTGTGGCTTGCACATACAGCTTTAAAGTTTCCCCCACATCCAGCGTGTGTATGTTGGTACTCCCAGAGGTTCTGAATGTTGGAAGAACAATCTCCTGGTTGTCATGAAAGACTGATGTTACCTTGGGATAGATATGAGTACCACCCTATCTGGGAAGAATGTTAAGAACAGTTCTCTACAATGGAGGGCTCTAATTTCGGAGACTCTTTCCTAACGTGACAGCCACAAGACTTGATGGAAAGCTCTTTGATTGTGGTCCGCCCTGTCTGCTTCATATCAGCTTCTGAGAGACAATTGAGGGCAAGAAGAAGGTCGCACTTAGGGAATCTTGGCTTTCTCTGAGGTATCTGCTTCACCGCTTTGCTGTCCTTCCTTGGAGTGTAGTAGGACTGTGGGAATGAACCTGAGAAGAGGAGGATTTCTGCATGCCCAAGAGTGCTTTAAAGAGACTGTTTTGATGGTCCAATAGTCCTGGATTAAAGCCACCCAGACCTGGCCGACTTTACATCCTTGTCCTTGAAAGGATAAAGCTTGGTTGTTTTACTTAGCAAGGAGATCTCTCTCTCGACCTTGCTCCACTCCTCTGTAATGATCTTCCTAAGTTCCTCCAGGAATGGGAAATTTGAATGCTCCTTCCTGAGAGGTTTCAAAAATGTCCTCTGTTTAGGAGACTCTCCGCTTGCTCCACAGCAACGTGCCCTCAGGGACCTGCATCCCGCATCACCAACACGCTTTCTCCTCAGAGTGGCTGGAATGGCAGTGATTGTGGTGCCTGGAAGAGGATTCAGAACTTCTCCTGTGATGCCTGGCTCTAGACGGTGACCTGTGACGTCTGAATCTAGATAGTGACAGTTTTGCGACCTACGAGGATTGCTGTATAATGACGATCAGACCTGGAAGGGCTGACAAGGAGCACAAATAGGAAAAAAAGAGTTCAAAATCCAATACAAGTGCCCAGGCAAGCGAGAAAGATCAAGGGTTAAACAAACCCACTCATACTTGTTGCAAGGACTGGCCACAAGGCGGTGGTGACATGGCGGTGGTGACAAGGTCAGCTAAACAGGCAAACTAGGCTGCAGGGCATAGAGAACCAAGGACATGATTAAAATGCATCAGGACATAGCAGGCAGCACAGAGGAAGGGTAAATAGGTAGCACATACCTCTGACAGGAGACCACACCACCTGGGGAAACCACCACACAAAGCCTGCAGGGAATCCCATTTGCAACAGCTCTGACAGTTGTTTAAATTTCCCACCTGCGCTGGCGACATCGCTGCCGCAGCGTGCACTGCCCTTGCATGCATGCACGATCGCCGCTATTTTGACCACACCGCATATGCGCAAAACCAGGTCTTGATCTTGGCCGAGGCCTGCACATCTGCAGAACAGCCAGAGGGTGCCAGCTGGAACAGAGAGGTGGCCTGGAGCGCAGATGCGCTGGTGCAGTGGGGCAGCCTATCACACAGAAATTGAGCAGGACCTGGAAGATTGCAGCTATCACTGTAGTAGTGTAGTAGTGCTGACTACAGGGGCGGACTGACCATTTAGCCACTCGGGCACTGCCCGAGGGCCCCGGGTCAGTAGGGGGCCCCATGAGATGCCCCTGGTACATTTCGTAGGCTTTTTTGGGTGTGGTTTGAGTGTAGGCGAGAACACAGAGGCCCCATGATTTCCTATTGCCCGGGTGCCCCATGAGTTCTCAGTCCGTCCCTGGCTGACTTCTACAATTATTTCCAGCTTCCCCAGCAGTCTATCAGGTATGAAAATTCCAATGCCATGCTGGACAAATGTAAATATGCAATACAAATAATTCCTGGAATTCAGCTTTAAATTGCCAATGAATATTACTTACAATCACAAAAGTGCCATTGAATATTGATAATCTGTAAATTCCAAACATCCATGATCACAGTAAAATCTTTTCATATTGCGTTGCCCTTCCATGTGCTTCTTCTTGCAAAAGGATAGTTATAGGTTGGGGTGGTTGCCCTTTGTTTGTACTGTTGATTAATTGGTGAGGGGGCACACTGGACACCATTGTGCTATTTGCTGGGTGTCCAGTGCTCCCCTGTGCCTTTAAGGAGGGGTGGGCCCCCTCCAGGCATACCTGTCCTTAATCTATCCATTATTAAGTGTTCTTGCATGGCAAGACCACTTACTGTTATCTCACATATATATACTTATTATTATAGCCAAATTTACCACCCTAACTCCTCCCACAGTTTTTACACTACATAGACAGTAATATACCGAAACATGCGGATTGTTCCCGATTGGTGTGCTATTACTTTGTGGAACGTTTCGCCGAATGGTTCACGAAATATCGGCGATTTTGTGGTGAAATTGGTCCCATAGGAATGAATGGCGGAATGTTCAAAACTAGAGTGGGAGCTGACAAAAGCTAGAGTGTGAGCTGAAAAATCAGGACATTATTTCTAAACTACCATCACTCCCTCATTTTCAAGCCCACCTACACAAATCTTATATTAAAACGTTCAGCTATCCCTGCTTCCACTAAAAATGTCCACGGCTAAGCCATAGTCCTGATAGGTTTCACAATATGACCATTTGTTTGCAACTCACGCCGCCCATTGACATTCATTAAAACTCCACTCTAGCCACCTCAAATTTGAAGGGCAATATCTAAACTGTGACTGCCTTCATTTTTAATATTTCAGAGACATACTATACATCAAAATGTAGGTCTGGATTTGGTGATGCTCACAATATAAATCTCTTCAGTGTAGGATTTATATTTTTTAAACTACAACCATTTGAAGATGGCAACCACTAGTGAAGTGAGCAAGTTGGAGCAGTTTGTTTTTAACCGCTCTTCTCTGCCCTTGCTGTAGAGTGAGTTGCCATAGGAACCCAGTTGTGGGAGCAGGCAGCAGAGTGACAAAAGCTAGAGTGTGAGCTGAAAAAAAAAAGTTGAAATGCATTTCTCACTCTACCAAGCTTGCCATGTGAACTTTTTAAATTTGATCAATCAATTGGTTAGTGTAATGTTTACTATCTTTACTCACTCCAAACACTCCACACAGTTACTCTGCCCACTCCATAAAGTTACTCTGCCCAATCCAACCTTTTCACAGTTACTCCAGCCACTCTAACCACACAACAGTTACTCAAGCCACTCCACCCAGTTACTCCGCCCACTCCAGTTGTAGACTACTGGTAGAGGCAAGAACACTTCACACAATTTCCCCAGAAATTGTAGCTTTTCTAGTTATATAAGTGCTCCTACTATGGAGGCTCTCAAATGTTTGGACTGCAGTACACTAGGGTGCCATGAAGTGGCCCTGCAGCTTATGCAGATATTTGCAAATGTGTGCAAACTAAACCCCTTATTTTAACAGGAACTGTTAGACAGGACAATTCAGTTTGTTGCAGACTGGCTAGTAAGTGATCCTGGAATTTGTCTTCATTGTTGTTTGACATGCGTCACCCTTCCATGTGCTCCTTGCTGTCAAGACCAGTTATAGGTTGGGGCAGTTGATATTTGTTTGTACCTTTCATATTACGATATAAGCAGAAGTAGATGTATCATCTCATAGCAGTACAGGATAACCAGCTATTGAACTCTCCTTTTCCCGCGAAACATTTCAGCACTCCAGGCAAATTTGAAATTAAATAAAAAGAACTTGTAAAGCACATACAGTTTTTTGAGCTTGTGTTCATATATTTAGGCTGGCCATGCATTATGCAATTTTCTTTCCTTCAGCCATGGGTTGTAAAAAAGAAAACCCTCAATTCCCCCATCAATATAATTAGTGTTGGTGGGGGAATGCCTCCCGTTGCGCTATTTTATTGTGAGAGCACAAGGTTTCTCCACCATCAGAATACAATAATCACTGTTGCCAGCTATAGCCAGCAGCAGTGAATGTACGAAAAAACCCCAACAGGTTGGATGTACTGAAGTCAAATGATAGATCAGTACTACCAGCCTGCCCATAGATGGATCAAAATTTGGTCGGTTCCTGCTGAACCAGACAAATTTTTGATCTGTCTATGGCTGGCTTCACATTTCACCTTATCTTAACCACTTCCCGACCGGCCCGGCCGTTGCATATAAACGGCCGGACGGTGGCAGTACAGGGTCGGGTGGCCGTTTATGAACGGCCTCCCCACCACCCTGCTTGTGCGTGCTCCCTCCTCCGGACACAGTGAAACACCGATCGTCGGACGGGACCTCTCTACAAGGTCCCGATCATGTGATCACTGATTGGCCAATCAGTGATCACATGCAAAGTAGTAAGCAAGATGTCACTTGTGACATCATTGCTTACTACGTGTGAAATCTGTGAATGATCACAGAGGTCACATGGTACAAGGCTATTCACAACAGCCTTGTACCATGTGACAAGCTCTGACCAATCACAGCTCACTCTGTATTTCTCAATGAGTGCAGGAATGCACACAGAGAGAAAGAGAAATGATTGCTTTTACAAAAGCAATCATTGTAAAAAAAAAAAAAAAAAAAAAAAAAAACTTCATCACCCTCCACAAGTAGTACAGTGTCACCATGGTGACACTGTACTGCTAGGGTGACAGTATGTAAAAAAAAATAAATAAATAAAAAATAATAATATAAAAAAATAAAATAAAAATGTAAAAAAAAATGTTTAAAAATTATAATTTTTGGTTATAAACTAATTTTTTGTTCTGTTTTTTTTTTTACTAAAAAGATAATGAAATACATTTTGGCAAAGATTTATGATGAAATATTATTTATTTGCAAAATTTTATAAAAAAAAACACTTTTGTTCAAAATTTTTGGACTTTTTCATTTACATAGCAAAAAAAATAAAAATCCCAGCAGTGAATAAATACCACCAAAATAAAGCTTTATCTGTTGCAAAAAAATGGTATAAAATTAATTTGGGTACAGTGTTGCATGACTGCGCAATTGTCATTCAAAGTGTGATAGCGCTGAAAGCTGAATATTGCCCTGGTCAGGAAGGGGGTAAAAGTGTCCGGTCTGGAAGTGGTTAAGCCATTCAGACATACTGGAAGGAAGGAAGGAAAGTAGAGTGGGAACCTCCTGGGTAAACTAGTCACAAAACAATAAAAGTGGAAGCAGTTGCTACCAGGTCCTTTCCTGGGGGATCTTGATTCAGTCACAATTCATCAGTCTCTTTACCTTTTCTTGTACCAATGGAAGTATCATTATTGGCTTATTAGATAGGCTCTCATGGGTCTATCATGTTTGCATATCTCCCGTGTCAGATGGGAAACAGAGACACATTATAGCATACTGTATAGGCAAATGGCACGACTCTACCCTCCAGTAACATGAGGATTATTGCACAAAAATTATTGGCTTAATCCATTTTTTCAATCACATTTCCTTTATATTGACTTTTCAAAACAATAAATAAGTAAAGGATATGTTAAATGTTCATTGCAGCAGAACACTACATTTTTATAGAGATCCTTACATCAGGCTAAAAAAAAGAGGGACAGCAAAAGAAGAACAAGGGACAGATGGATTTGGTTCTAAAAAAGGACAGTTCCTCCAACTGAGGGACAATTGGAAGGTATGTGTTTGGTGACAAAAGGAAAATCAGTGCCAAACATTCAAAAACTGTCCGTGGATTACCATAAGGAGTGTGGGCAGTTACATAGGTTGTATAGTTAATACTCATTGATATGGTCAATCTTTGACAAGAGAACTCTAGAAATGCCCATATAATTAGTTACCTGCATGCCTGTTGGGACAATGGATCCACAAAAGTGTAGTTACATAACAAAGAGAAGCTGTTTACCTCCTTGCAGTACACAATCACAGATTGGAATTTTTGAAATTGTGGAGATGCTGTTCTGTATCAAGTCACCCAAACGCTGAGAAGGTAATTAAAACCTGTACACACTGTCCTGAATAAAAGATATTCCTGTTCCAAAGACAATTGTAAAGTAGCACATGTACCTTTACTTTCTATTATGGTGACAATGGTTTTAAAATGACACATGGACAGCAGTAACACAAATAAACAAACATGACAATCCCTTTCCTACATTAAAAAAAACAAAAAAAACAAATTCAAGTCTAGCAAATGTATCAGGATATGTTCCCATATATTGCATCTCTGCTGATAACAGGGACATAAAAATTGATACAAAAATAAAGAGGAACTTTTGTGTTGCTAAATGCTGCTTTACACCAATGACAGTAAAGGAAAGAAATTAATTATCACAAACATGTCAGACAAAAGGGTTTCACAAAAAATGTGTGTAATTAGGCAATGGGGGAGTTGCAAAATATGTCACCTACAAGTGACCTCAAATTTAACTTCCAGTAAAAGGCTGCATTCACAGGGGCATTTGGCCACGGTGTGAATTCCAGCAGCAGGAATCTACTGCTTCCTGTTGCTGGGATTGACAGCTGCATGCGGATAACTGCAGCCGCCTGCGATGATCGCTGGCTGTGCAAACAGGCATGAATAGCCACGGTTGCTGGCAGCCTGTTATTACAGTATATGGGCAGTAGATTCTTGCTGGGAGTTGCACCATGGCTAAACACCAGTGATGGGCTTTAAGTTCGACTCAGACATGGGCCGATTCGTGTGTTCAATGAACACACGAATGGTAAGGATGTTAGGAGGGCTATTCGCCCCACAATGCACTGCGCCCTGACAGTGAATTGCGATTGGCCAAAGCAATGCACCTGACCACAGGTCAGATGCAATGCTTTGGCCAATCACAGTGCATGATGACGTCACAAGGGGCAGGAGTAACCCAGCCAGCATTGAGAGCAGAGCGTTTTTTTTTTTGGGGGGGGGGGGCGGCGGTGGTGGCGGGCATTGTGATTGACATTGGGTCTAATTCGGGGGACATTATTTTTATTTTTAATAAAGGACTTGTCAAAGACTGTCTTCTGACATTATTTTGGGAATGGGTAGTGGTACCATGTACCCCATACTCATTCACATGGGGGTAGGGATCTGGGGACTCCCTTTTTAAAGGGGGCTTCTACATTCCTATAAGCCCCCCGCCCACAGACCCCCACAACCACCGGCCAGGGTTGTGGGGAAGAGGCCCTTGTCCCCATCAACATGGGGACAAGGTGCTTTGGGGAGAGCCCCCCAAAGCACCCCCCATGTTGAGGGCATGTGGCCTGGTATGGTTCAGAAGGGGGGCTGCTCGCTCATCCCCCCCCCCCCCCCCTTCCTGACCTCCCGGGCTGTTTCGCAAATAGAAAGATCTTTCTTTTTGTTGTTTGTTGCTTGCACTTCCGAGATTACATTTTAACATGCGCTGCAGTTTCCAACTGTTTCCGATCGATTCCACTACTAACGTTTAGAAAATCGATTGTTTATGCTACAAAAATCCGTCATGACGGCTCATTTTTTTGCCATAAAACTTTACATTTTGAGAACAAAATGAGCGCACTAACGCACAAAAGTTGAATGATCAAGCATAGCAAACATTTTTTCAAATGATTTTCTAATCAAGTATGGCCATAACAGTCTATTTGAGTTAGGGCTTGCTAAAATTTTTAATTAAAAACATTTGAACTGTCAAATCGCATGACAATTCACATCAATGTGAACCAGGGCTTGGTGTAAGGTCACGTTTTATTTCTGTAAATATAAAGCAATTTGTTTGGCAATTGCTTCTTACATGTTGTGCATGAACAGCTAAACATAATAATACAAGTAGATCCCAAGATCAATATTTGTCTTTATATTTTGTTTAAATCATGTCACAATTCTTAGAAGCAAACTATCCACTTTCTTCATCTATTTCTTGATAGTGGATGAGAGACTGTTTGACTCCCTCTTGCATACTTCACCGGCATCATAATATTTGTATTTCTCTGCCCTCCATTTAGCACAAAGCTCTTAACATTCTTACAGGATATACAGTTCCAAGAATTCTGTGCTAGATGATTCTGGATGGAGGGAAAACATGTTTTCTTCTTCGCTTGTAGCATCCCCAACTTGTTTTGACTGTTATGAACGTTCCTAGTAAGTTCAGCCAAAGTCGTGCAGAGCACGAGGAAGTTGTTGTGGTTTGTAAGGGGTGTGCATGCAGCGTGCACGAGGAGGAACAGCTGTTTTCAAGCCAAGATTACTGTACATGAGCATAGGATTTCCTCCGCTCTGCAGCTTCGGTCCATGATGAGATCACGCACTGATTTTCTTAGCTTGCAGCCTATGTAAATCTATGTGTAGCCTGTTTAGTTTATGGACTTGTAAGGTTGGCTATAGTCAAGTTGACTTTTCATAGTATTCCACAACAAATGCCCTTTACTTGCTCCTGTTCCAGGCTGCTGAAAACTCCAAGCACCACCAGTTAGGCCTTGTGAGCCTCAGTAATTGGTTCATAACAGTAGGGGCTGAGAACTCTTCCCATTCCAACAATCAAGAGCCTAAAATTATTTTTCTTCAATAACTTTATTACATTTTATTACTTGATTTTTCTTTTTTGCTATAATGAGCTTATGAGCTCCCTGTGTGATAGCATTGTGCAGGTGACAGGTCTTTTTTTATGGAGCATCAGGGTCCATTAGACCCTAATGCCTCCGCTGTATGGCGACTGTACTAGATCTATTGTTTACATGGCCAAAGCCACCAGCATGTGGGGAGGAGCAGTGTGGTGCAGGCCGTAAATACACAGAGTCGGTTGCAGTAAAACTTGGAACTTGAACTGAACAGAATGCCAATGTTACAAATACCCTGGCGGAGAGGGCCACTGAGGAAATAACTCACAGCTCAATGCAGTCAGATGTGGTGGAGTAGAGGTGCCAACAGCTTCTGTTTCAGAGGGTTAAGTGTGGCCTGGTTGGTCCTGTCCCAAGGAAGGGTCCTTTCGAGGACAGCAAGTCCCTAACCTGTTCCTCCTCATCAGGAACCTTTCCCTACCAGTAATTATTTTCCCTAACAAGCGTGGTCTCTCTCTACTCAAAGTGCGCCAAAACCCAGGGGCAGGGACTTAAATAGAAACTGCTGACCCCGGATGGCCACCAAGGGTCACATGGCCACAGTGTAGTCAACAGGAACTCTGCTCCATTGACCCAGGAAACCATAGAGAAAACATGTTTCTCTTGGACTCAGATCGAGCGCTACCTACAGTGGAGAAAACAGACTGCACCTGCCTACAAGCATCTGACAGCTGTGAATCCAGAAGTGCTCAGAGCACAGCACACCTTGGTTCACACCATGGAGGAGAGATTGGGTTTCAGATCACTCTTCCAGAAGCACTGCTCGCCATCCTAAAGCAGGAGGGTCCCAAAACACAGGACTGGGAGTAGAACCTGTGCTTCCACCTGATCACTTCTACTTTGTATCCAGGAGCCAGCTGATGAGATTTAAAACAAGCTTGCGGCTGCTGCCCATTCAATGCTGAGCTATGGCAGTGAAAGGGTTGAATGAAACTATGCTTTTGTGTA